GGCATTGACTTGAATTGAAATTGGCTTTGACTTGGATTGAAATTGGCATTGACTTGGATTGAAATTGGCATTTACTTGAATTGAAATTGGCTTTGACTTGGATTGAAATTGGCTTTGACTTAAATTGAAATTGGCTTTAACTTGTATTGTTGGATTAAAATTGATTTTGACCTATATTAAAATTGACTTTGATTTGTATTGAAATTGACTTTGACTTGGATTTAAACTGGCTCTGACTTGGATTGAAATTGGCTTTAACTTGAATTGAAATTGGTTTAAACTTGGATTAAAATTGACATTAACTTAGATTGAATTTGGCTTTGATTTGGATTGAAATTAGCTGTATAATTTGGATTAAAATTAACTTTGACTTAAATTGATATTTGCTTAGACTTGGTATATTTAATTAAAATTGGCTTTTTGACTTGGATTATTAGATTAAAATTGATTTTTATTTAAATTAAAATTATCTTTGACTTAAATATCAATGTATTATAATTTTAAATTGTTTTTTATTAATATTAGCATATAATATTTATAAATATTTAATATATATCAACATTAAGAAATTAAAAAAAATTTTTAAACTAATTTATATAATAATAATAGATGTTAATTTTTAAAATTTCTTATATTATTAATACATTTTTATTAGTTCAATATTAAATACATCGGTAAATAATATTTTTATAGTTTGGTTTATATATTAAAAAGCAAGGTTTTTATATTTTTTAATTAAATAAAATTAATTAAATAAAATTATATAAATAAAATTAATTTATATATTTTTATAACGTGTATTAAAAAAATTATTAGTCATATATAATTTATATAATTTAATTAAACTAATAATTAATTATGCCTCGAAGAAAAGTAAATCGTACAGTGGAAGAAGAAGAAGAATTTCGACGTAATAAACGAGAAAGAAGTGCAAAAACTCAGGCTGAAACGAGAAGCAAAGCGAATGATGACTGATAAAAACTGTCAATCTTTATCAAATACTAATGAGATTTTTCCAAATATAACACAACCTTCTACAAGCTTTTCGAAAAATATAGTAATAGATTATCATACTTCCATTTCATCTATGAAAGTAGTATATCCAACAACTGAAACAGTTACTACTGCATTGCAAGCAATTAGTACATCAACAATTACAAATGTCCCTATAATAAGAAATAGTAATGATGTTATTGCGATAAATGATAGTATAAAATTGTTTAATGTTAATGATAATATTGAAATAACTCAGAATACTCGCAACTTAACTACTGAAGTTTTAAATAATAATATTGTTTCCCCTATACCTAGCACATCAAATGAATTAATAAATTTAGATGATAATAACAGATTCGAAAATTTAGTCATTTTACATGAAGTGCCACCGCAAAATATTGTAACAAATGATCAAACAGTAAAATCAAAAACAATATCTACCAATATAGTTAATAAAAGTAAACAGATAAAATGGTATGAAAGAAACCGAGCTTTAGAAAAGGGATACACAGATATTGATACATCTCACCTTACTCAATTAAAAAATGTCATAGAACACTACATAGGAGAAATAAATGCATATTGCGAACATTGCGGTGCAAAACATTTTAATTCCGAAAAAGTAGCTAATAAAGGTAATTCATTTAACGATTGTTGTAGTCATGGGTCTGTTAAATTAAATTCTTTACCTCAACCTTCACATGAACTTTATGAATTGTTTACTGAAAATCATCCAAAATCAAAACATTTTTACAATCGTATTCGAGGATATAATAACATTTTTTCATTTGCATCTTTTAATGCAAATTTGTCAGACTTTAGCGCACAAAGACGTGGACCGTATTGTTTTAAAATTCAAGGACAAATTTATTATCAAATCAATACCGCGTTATATCCCGCACCAAATGAAATACCAAGTTATGGTCAACTTTTTATCATTGATAACAATGAAGCGACAGAGTGTCGATTACATCGAAACTCGAATCTCGATGAAGAAATTTTACGTTCAATAGATAATGTAATACGTACGAACAACATTTTTGCAAAATCTTATCGAATGATGCACGAAGAAATTCAAGTGCAAACGACTGAAAATAACAGTATACCTAATTTACAATTAGGATTTTTAACAAAAAGAGGCATTGATCGTGGTCGGTACAATATTCAAAAGGTAAATGAAGTTGCAGCTGTCTTTTCTACTACGGCAGATGGTGAAATTCCGGAAACTTACGTGACAATTTATAATAAATGTAACAAGACATTACAACAAGTCAGTACAATGAATCCAAATGTAGAACCATGGATTTACCCATTATACTATCCGTACGGTAATCAAGGTCGGCATGGTAATTTACAACGCAGAGATAGTAATAAACGAATAAGTAGAGCTGCATACGTAAAATATCGAATAGCTATACGTGATAATTTTAATATTTTTGTCATGGAAAGACGATTATTTCAGCAGTGGCTTGTAGATAGTTATGTTAAAATTGAGAAGGACCGAATTAATTATTGTAAACAGAATCAAAAACAATTACGAGCTGAGACATATCAAGGATTAATTGATTATTTAGCAAACGTTGCCAATAATAGCGACGCTCACATTGGAAAAATGGTTATACTTCCATCAACATTTGTAGGTTCACCGCGTAATATGTTGCAACATTATCAAGATGCGATGGCTATTGTTCGAAAGTATGGAAAACCAGATATTTTTATTACTATGACTTGTAATCCAAATTGGTGCGAAATTAGAGAGAATTCACTTCCGGGTCAACAACCTGCAGATAGGCCAGATATATGTGCTCGTGTATTTAATATAAAGAAAGATTATTTGATTGACGTTATCGTTAGACAAAAATTTTTTGGTGAAGTTTTAGCATATGTTTACGTAATAGAATTTCAAAAACGTGGATTACCACACATACATTTGTTGATTACATTAAAACGAAACTGTAAAATAGTAAATCCTGAAACAGTTGATAAATTTATCTCTGCGGAAATTCCTGATCCTAATGAAAATGAAAGTTTACACAATGTTGTTATGAAACATATGATTCATGGGCCATGTGGAGATTGGTGTCTAATAAATGATAAATGTTCGAAACATTTTCCAAAACCATTTCGACCTGAGACGACTATGGATGAAGATGGTTATCCGCAATATCGTCGAAGAAATAATGGATTGCTATATGAAAGACCTGGGCGGTATGTTGTTGATAATCAATATGTTGTTCCATTTAATCCAATGCTCTTTCTTTTATTTAATAGCCATATTAATGTTGAAATAGTTACAAGCATACGATCTGTAAAATATTTGTATAAATATATTTATAAAGGTCATGACGCTGCATCCGTAATCATTGGAGAGAATATAGATAAAACAATAATTCATGACGAAATTCAAGATTTTATCGAAGCTCGTTATGTCGGGCCCGTGGAAGCATGTTGGCGCATTTTAAGCAAATCTTTGCAAGAAAAAAGTCACGCTATATTTCGTTTACCGGTTCATTTACCAAACGAACATAATGTTATAATCGATGAAAACGTTAATAATGATGCGATAAGATCTGCTGTAGAACGAGTAACAATGTTGTTAGATTATTTTGAGTTAAATTTTCGAGATGAGGAAGCAAAACAATATTTATATAGCGATATTCCATCTCATTATGTATTTAAAAAAGTTACAATTAATGGCAGAACTGTTAATCGTTGGGAGAAACGTCAAAGATACTTTAATTGTATTGGTCGTATGTATTCCGTCAGTCCGTCTCAGATAGAATTGTTTCATTTACGTATACTTTTATTACATGTTAGAGGAGCTACGAGTTTTCAAGAATTAAGAACAGTCAATAACGAAGTACATGAAACTTTCAGTGCCGCATGTTTAGCATTAGGACTCATAGAAGATGATGAAGAATGGTATCGTGCAATGAACGAAGCAAAAGTTTGGATGATGCCAAGACGACTTCGTAACTTGTTCGTACGAATTTTGATTCATTGTCAACCTGTTTATCCGAAAAAGTTATGGGACAAGTTTAAAAAAGATATGTCCGAAGATTATATAAGACGATTTGGACTTATAATGGGAATAAAGAAAGCTTACAATTATATTGACAATTTGCTTCAAATAGAAGGATCTAATATTACTAATTTTCCTGAAATGGAACAAGAAACAGAGGAACAAGTAATAATAGACAATGAAGAACAGATTGAGGAGGATACATTGATAGGTATACGACAATATGAACAATTAAGTGTAGAACAAAAACAAATTGTTGATATTATTTTAGAAGCAACAATAAATAACAATAATACTTACAATAATACTTGTTTTTATATTGATGGTCCAGGTGGTACCGGTAAAACTTTTATTTATACAACATTGTATTATTTACTTAAAAGCAGAGGAAAAGTAGCAAGTACCATGGCATTTACTGGTATTGCTGCGACATTACTTCCAAATGGAAAAACAATACACAAAGTTTTTGGATTACCTGTACCTCTTTTTGCCGATTCTACATCGAACATTAAAGTTCAGTCTAAAGAAGCTGAAAATTTAAAACTT